GGGGACGACCATTCCAACGAAGTCGACCATTCCAACGAGGACGTTGGAAGTTTCGTTAATGTATTCAATAATGAGCACATTAACAACATACCTGGCTTCTTTAACAGCCACGCGAACATTTTCAATCATCCTAATGTGTTTGTGGATTATGACGAAAACGATTTCGAGAATTGATGAAAACGATTTCGAGAATTGATGAAAACGATTTCGAGAATTGATGAAAACGATTTCGAGAATTGATGAAAACGATTTCGAGAATTGATGAAGACTGTCTTGGGCAATCGGGACGGAGACGAATAGAACACGTTCACACACTAACAAATGACGCTCGGTTGATAACACTCGGTTGCAGGCAAGATATAAAGAGCGATATATGGAGACGACCACCTGTGTGTGAATACCACAAACCTGACTGTAGTGAGTGTGCCGTAACAGTGACTACTTGGAGAAGCAGCACCCGGCTGCGGCGCAGACAGAGGCAGGGTCGCGCAAGGCGCAATTAACGCTCAAGTTGTTGACGGTGTTGTTGACAGGATTGTTGACGGTGATGGAGGCTTGCAAGTTGTTGGACCAGGACCTATTATTTAAGGCGGCCAACATCTCGCAATTGATGGTCGTAACCTTCTCTGAGGAGGAGCGCCATACGTTCAGGAGGAGCGCCATACGTTCCCCGTAGACATCTCCCCGTGGACATCTCCGCCGAACACAATGACCATGTTTGCATCGAACAGTTCATGCCGCGCGGACCCCTGCACTTTCTTTCTTGTCGCAGGCCAGTTGGCGAACGCCAGTTGTCGAACGCCAGTTGCGTTCGCGTTGCCATGGTAATTGCTGATTTTTGTAGAAATAATTCGGGATGAGGTGCTCTTACGCAGCTAGTGAGGCTGTCAGGGCAGCAGGATGGGGGACGTTGTCGAGTGTGGCGGTGCCATTTGCGGTGAACGGTCACTGGGTGGACATGGTTGAGACGTTTCAGCCGTTGTTGGATGCGGGCGACCGGTACGTGTTCGGCAGAGACGGTCTGAATATTGCGTTCTTTGACGGACTGCAGTTACTGGAGGACCTGCCAGACATGACGGTGGGCTCCTTCGACATGAAGCCAGTGGAGATCATCTCCCCTGAAGAGTTGAAACGTGCAATGTTGTCGGAAGCACCTATCGAGCGCGAGATGTTCAGAGCTGTGGCTGACTGTTTGTTCTCGATCCAACCTCTTGTGACACGCTACCCCGAATCGTGCGGCGTGGACGACAACTTGCGGACCCGACTGAAACAGTGGGTGGCTCATGTCAACCACCTTCTAGAACCGAATAAGTGGAGACTGTATCATGCAGCCTCTGAGGTATGTAAACTAAAGAAAATGCACTTCGACTTGTTAGCCATCGTTCGAATCCCATTGGTAAACTTTCAGACGGAGTCAATTGACACCTTTACCTTTCCCGTTCACCAGCCGTGCAATGCCGACCAAGTTAGACGTAACGCTATACAACTCGCAGAAAAAGCGCTGCGAGAAGCACCACTGGATCAAGTGTTGAGCTTGATACTAGCAAGCCACAACGGCAACATACTCGTCCTGAGAGATCCGGAACTCGAACCACCTGACTCGTTCAATCACGACTACATTAAAATGTTTGAGGAAGAGTCTGAAGCTTGACGAGAATTTTAAAGATTTGAATGACGTACCAAACAGAACCCACACTACCCCTCCACACACTACGCCTCTCAAAAGCAGCAGGCTAACTAACTGTTGGTTAACTAATACATGCACTGACTGATTCGGTCTCAAATCAAGGACTCAAGTCGGGGGGCGTGCAATACGACAAAAAAGATGCCTTTTCTCTCTCCCACTCGGGTCGTAAATAAATATAAGGAGGGGGACTCCTCCAATTCCGCCATGCCTAGTGATGACAGATACGATGACAGGTATCCTGACGAGAGCAGTCATGGTGGCAGCAATGGCGATGGCACTCGTAGCGACAATCGCAATGACATTCATGGCGACATTCACAATGACATTCATGGCGGCATTCACAATGACAGCACTCATCTCCCTCGCACTTGTCGATGCTCCGCTTCTCTAAGGTCCCAGTATTGCAGCAGTGCCGACGACAATTGTCCTGACCACCGTGGCCGTCGTGAGCGCTGCGGCCGCGATGATAACTGTGACCACCATGAGTACTGCGGCCACCATGAGTACTGCGGCGGCCATGACCACTGCTGTGATGATTTTTCCTCTTGGAATAGAGCCCAGTGTCTTTGAATTTGACCAATTCTGGCGACAGCTCATTATGCTTCTTGACGGTCAGCTCAGCTTCCTCGCCGATCTCCCCGTTAGAGTACGCGTCCAGCACCGCACGGACCGACTCGAAGTGCTCATCCAGAAGCTGGGGACAGATGGGGACGCGTTCCATTTTACTTGTGATTGAAATTTTTTATTTCCCGCGATTGAAAGCCGGCTGGGGTCGGGTCCAGGAGGAGATGAACATCAAATCTAACGCTAACTCTATTCGGAGAAAGACGGGGCTATTGTTTGTTGGTTTCGATTAACATCTTCTTAGCCGTTTTGCGGCCGGCACTCGATGAGTGGTAGGAGGGATGTGAAAAAAACGCGCGAAAAGGGCCAACTGGGCACGCGATGGTACAACAGACTTGTTAAGACCAAATGGTAACTAATATAGGACATACATTTCGGTCTCAAAAATCAATGCCTTGAAAACAAATCTGGAGCATGCAACACACGGAAAAGAACACGCGGCTTGCAAGTCAATATAACAAGGGTGCTGCATACGGGGGTTCTGTCATGGTCCCTACTGACGACGGCAGCAGTCTTGGCGACGACAATGATGACGGCAGCAATGATTGTGGCACTCGTGGTGACGCTCGTAGTGATCATCAGCAACTCTCTCCCTTGGAGCATTGCACTGATCAGCTTCCCACTTGTGGACGCTTCGCCTCTCCGAGTTCCCAGAACCGCAACAATTTCCATGAGCATTGCCATGAGCATTGCCATGGCCATTGTGACCACTATGGCCTACACGCTGACTACTGCGATGGCTTTTCCTCTTGGAATAGAGACCAGTGTTCTTGAATTTGAGCAAATCTGGCAACAGCTCGTTGTGCTTCTTGACGGTCAGCTCGGTTTCGTCGCCGATCTCCCCGTTGGAGTACGCGTCCAGTACTGCGCGAACGGACTCGAAGTGCTCGTCCAAAAGCTCGGGACAAATGGGGACGCGTTCCATTTTTGATGCTGTGGCAAAATTTTATTATCCCTGACCTTCACACTGGCCCGGCCGCAGTGGAGGGTCAGAAAGGCTCCACGGTTCGCACTGAGTGAGGGTCTTACCAGCCGCCTTGTCTTCATTGAGTCTGGGGACCATCCGGCTGTGGCCCGCAGCCCTGAGTTCCGTGCAAGCCTCGCGGCCTAAGCCCGTTTATTTATTTTGCTCGCCCGGCTGAATTCGAGGTTCTTTTTCCGCCATTTTCGGAGAGTTTTGTAAGCATCAGGGAACCAAGCTTTAATGACTTGGAAGAAGACGCCCCCTTCCGTGCGGGGTGTTTCTCCGTTCAATTGGAGGAGGCCACCGGAGCGGCAGACTCTGATGGTTTCGGCGATTACGTTGAGACTGGCCGCAGTGCCCACGAGCGTCAAGCAGAGTTCGGTACCTCCGATCTGGTAGGTGGGTTCCTTGAGCCAACTAAGCACGAACTTGACAAACACCACGTTCTCGAGTGATCGCAAGTAGACCCGTTCGTCGTGTGCCAGCTCGTGCGAGCACTTTCCGAACGCACCACCCTTTGCTCCGTTGTCCACCGCCCCGTCTTCCTCTATAGCTCCTTCCTCGCGGTCATGCTCTCCATCTGCCCGTTGCCCTCCGCCATGCTCTCCATCAGCGCCTTTCCCCCCATTTCCGCCATGCTCTCCGTCTCGGGTAGCTCTCCGTTTTTTGGTGGCTGCCTCGAACTTTTTTCGATCGTTAAGGATCTTCCTCAAAAGCACATCGCGGTCGACGCCGACATTGGGGAGACCTGGTGGCCTCAGTGTCGGCTTGATCTTGGACATAATGGTCTGGTATTCGCGGTGATTGACTTGTTTGAGTCTCTTCATATGTTTGGAATTAGATGATGCGTAAAGGTTGATCACGTCTTCTGCAGTTGGAAAAAGATGGGGAAGAGTAGACGCCTCGCGGGTTAGGTAAGCCACCGTCAAAATGGGGTAACCATCCGCAGCCTCATACATCCGATGTACATGCAGGAAGTTGAACCGGTGCCCGTCCGGTGAGCCGTGACAAGATAAATGGATTAACTCGTCTACGTCCTGATTCCGAGGCAGGATCAAACATAGGTTATCCGCAATCGTCATGCACGCCTGCACAATTCCCACAATGTCACAACACGTCTGGTCACTCATGAAGTACGAGTAACACGAACGATACTCCGGACCGCCCCACGGAGGAGACACCACCGCCCACGGAAACGGCCGCTCCAGCTTCTGTCGTGTCACCATCGCACGCATCACACCCACGATCCTCTGCCCACCCACCTCCGACTCGCTAGAGGCGTCCGTCTTAGCACTGCCGGTAGCATTGGCGCTAGACTCACTGTCTGTCTTACCGCTTGCCTTACCACGTGCGTCCGCCTTAACCACGAAGGGTGCCCAGCACTCATGTTCAACGGTCTTGGCGACGATCTTGTTCTTCTGCAGCTTGGCGTAGTTCTCGACACTCGCGACCACGGCCTCGATGCGGTCGGAAACGCCGTAGACTTGTGCGTTGTGTCGTAGGAGCGCCGTCTTGGACTCACACACGTCCACGCAAACCACCTTTCGCTCACGCAGCACCGAGGCGAGCGCAATCGCGTCCCCGCCAACCCCGCTGCATGCGACCAAGATCGGTTTCTTCGCCGTTACGGGCTCTGTAGTTCCCGTTTCTTCGGAACGGTCTCCGGCCTTGATGTGGAAGTCCTTTATTTCGGTGGGATGGGCCAGCACGGCCCGCAGATTCTCCGCGATCCTGCGCCCGTAGCACTCCGGTGTGAGCTCGTACCAAGCCGTCTCGTCCATCCGTACTCCCTGGTCGAACTTGCTCCACAGCCAGTGTCGCCGTTCCCACACCTTCAGTGACGGACAGCCCATGGCGAGGCCCGCGTGGGTCTGCAGCTCCGCGTCGTCGTCCCCCACGTCCCAATAGTTCAGCAAGTCCACCGGGTCTTGGTCATCCGGCTCTTGGTCCCCGGATACAACCTCAACCACGGAGCTGCCGTCGGAGTCGGCGGCAGCACACGGCAGCGCGGCAACCGTGTGGTCTAGCGAGACCATCAAGACGTCGTCTGCCTCGTCCAGAAGCGCACCCTCCTCCGGCTCATCCGGCAGACCTGTGAGGTCCACATCCGCCGTCGTGCCGGTCTCTCTCCGCCGCCGCTTCGCTTGCTTCGGTGCGGGTTGACCTTCGCGCTTCCGCTGCCCTGCCTTGCCCTCTGCACCGCCGTCCACTCGCTCCGCCACGTTCACCAAGATCACCGCACTCACCACTTCGCGACTTTCCACGCTGGCTGCTCCGCCTTCGCAATTGGGTGTCTCGCCGTCAGAACCGACTGCCCCGCCGTCGGCGCCGGGCGCCCCGCCATCGGAACCCGGTGCCTCACTCGAACCAGGAACCTCGCTCGAACCAGGAACCTCACTGGAGCCGGGTGCCTCACTTGAGCCAGGTGCCTCACTTGAGCCAGGCGCCTCACTTGAGCCAGGAGCCTCTTCAATGTTAACTATTACTTTTTCGCCTGGCCAAATGTGGGCAGGAGTCCACACTCCGCGCGTCATCCGATACAGGTCTTCAGCGTCACATGCGGCAGTCGCCAGCCCCAAGCCAGCGATACTCACGTCATCCAGAGCGCGTCGAGGGGGGTCCTTCAAGTATTCATGATGAACCACACCCATGCAATTTAAATTCAAATCTCCCTCGTTTTGCACCCACGGTTTACATCACCCAGCATTAAACCGAAGACCTCCCACTGCAGTCCTCTCGGCACATCCCCTTCGCGTAACGACGGTCTGCATTCGGCCGGGCCCTTACCACACACGGCAATTGCCGATCGTGGCGGAGTACGTTTGGCGTGTAAGTGGGCAACCTTTCTACGGTGTACTGGTCCGTTACGGTGTACTGGTCGGCTTCAAATATCGCTTGGCCACCAGGGTTTGGCTGCCGTCGTGTAGTACCCACGTGAAGAGCTGGATCTTTTGGTTCCGTTTTGGTCTTTTAAAGACTTGTCGGATGTCAATAAATCTAAGGGCGTCCGAAGACCGGAACTGCACCAAAGCCGAGTGTTGCGAGTCCCAGAAGCTGAGCTGCTGCCAATCCCGTTTCGTGATGTGATTGTCTGCCAGAGCAGCCACCGTTTTGCCGTCCAAAGAAACAAAGCCGCTAATGGAGCCGGTGGTGGTCACCAAGCCTTGGGGGGTCGGGCCGTCGGGCAGGTGGACGGCCGACGTGTTGCCGCTGTCGCACCCGAACAAGACCGACTTGAGAACCCCATTTTCATCCCGCTGGCCAGGGCCAATTTTGCTTCGCACGCTTGTCCGACTAATAATGTTCCTTTTCAGCTTCCCAACTCCCAACAGCTCCAAATGGTCCTGAATGCTATCGGAGACATCTCGGTCTACCGTCCAGTCACCAAATAAATCCTCCACGTCGCGGCATAATTCATACTCAGCTGTTGCCTCTCCTTCCCAGCCCTGCCACTCGGAGCTGATAGCGTAAATGGAATCTAGTTCAGCTTGACGCCGCTCCAGCTCTGTGGAACACATTTAGGCGAAGTGTAGGGTAGGGTGTAGGTAGTTGGGAACAGTATATTGGTTGCCCGATTGGTAGTTGGTTGGGTATTGGGAGATTGGTAGTTTATTGGTTGCCCGATTGGTAGTTGGGTACTGATAATTTTTAGGGCTGCATTGATGCTGGGTCGTGCTGGGGGTAATTCTTGAGGCCAAATATAAACTCCCATGACCATCCCTTGTGACGGTGTTGGTGAAGATTCAAAGGGTGAGGCTGTGAAAGAGGAGGCAGGGACAAGTGAGCAGGGGGCGAAGGAGGAAGCCTCAAGCAAGAGTGGGTCAGCGGGCGTGGATGAAGTGCGGTTCCCGAAGAAGGCGTTGTATAGACAGCGAGCAGTAAGATCTACAATGTGTACGCACACTAATGTTTGCCAGATACTAATGTTTGTGTCAGATACTAATGTTTGTGTCAGACTGATGTTTGCCACAGACACACGGATTAATGTGCGAACACGTGTGTGCAGGTGTGTCTGTAGTCACTTACGTGGGCTATTAAAGTGTTGTAGCATTGTAATCCGTTGTCGGACGCGTATATAGGAT